CTTGTTCCTGTGTCCCAGTGTCCCAGTGTCTCAGTGTCCCAGTGTCTCCGTGTCTCAGTGTCCCAGTGTCCCAGTGTCTCTGTGTCCCAGTGTCCCAGTGTCTCAGTGTCCCAGTGTCCCAGTGTCTCCGTTTCTCAGTGTCCCCGTGTCTCAGTGTCTCTGTGTCTCAGTGTCCCCGTGTCTCAGTGTCTCAGTGTCCCCGTGTCTCAGTGTCTCAGTGTCCCCGTGTCTCAGTGTCCCCGTGTCTCAGTATCCCCGTGTCTCAGTGTCCCCGTGTCTCAGTGTCCCCGTGTCCCAGTGTCTCAGTGTCTCAGTGTCCCCGTGTCTCAGTGTCCCTGTGTCTCAGTGTCTCAGTGTCCCTGTGTCTCAGTGTCTCAGTGTCCCTGTGTCTCAGTGTCCCCGTGTCTCAGTGTCTCAGTGTCTCAGTGTCTCAGTGTCCCCGTGTCTCAGTGTCCCTGTGTCTCAGTGTCTCAGTGTCCCTGTGTCTCAGTGTCTCAGTGTCCCTGTGTCTCAGTGTCTCAGTGTCCCTGTGTCTCAGTGTCCCCGTGTCTCAGTGTCTCAGTGTCTCAGTGTCTCAGTGTCCCCGTGTCTCAGTGTCCCTGTGTCTCAGTGTCTCAGTGTCCCTGTGTCTCAGTGTCCCTGTGTCTCAGTGTCCCTGTGTCCCAGTGTCTCAGTGTCTCAGTGTCCCCGTGTCTCAGTGTCCCAGTGTCTCAGTGTCTCAGTGTCCCTGTGTCTCAGTGTCCCTGTGTCCCAGTGTCTCAGTGTCTCAGTGTCCCCGTGTCTCCGTGTCTCAGTGTCCCCGTGTCTCAGTGTCCCCGTGTCTCAGTATCCCCGTGTCTCAGTGTCCCCGTGTCTCAGTGTCTCAGTGTCCCCGTGTCTCAGTGTCCCTGTGTCTCAGTGTCCCCGTGTCTCAGTGTCTCAGTGTCCCCGTGTCTCAGTGTCCCCGTGTCTCAGTGTCCCCGTGTCTCAGTGTCCCCGTGTCTCAGTGTCCCCGTGTCTCAGTGTCTCAGTGTCCCCGTGTCTCAGTGTCCCTGTGTCCCAGTGTCCCAGTGTCTCAGTGTCTCAGTGTCTCAGTGTCTCAGTGTCTCAGTGTCCCCGTGTCTCAGTGTCTCAGTGTCTCAGTGTCTCAGTGTCCCCGTGTCTCAGTGTCCCAGTGTCCCAGTGTCTCAGTGTCTCAGTGTCTCAGTGTCTCAGTGTCTCAGTGTCTCAGTGTCCCTGTGTCTCAGTGTCTCAGTGTCTCAGTGTCCCCGTGTCTCAGTGTCCCTGTGTCTCAGTGTCTCAGTGTCTCAGTGTCTCAGTGTCTCAGTGTCTCAGTGTCCCTGTGTCTCAGTGTCTCAGTGTCTCAGTGTCCCCGTGTCTCAGTGTCCCTGTGTCTCAGTGTCTCAGTGTCTCAGTGTCTCAGTGTCTCAGTGTCTCAGTGTCTCAGTGTCCCTGTGTCTCAGTGTCTCAGTGTCTCAGTGTCCCCGTGTCTCAGTATCCCCGTGTCTCAGTGTCCCCGTGTCTCAGTGTCTCAGTGTCCCCGTGTCTCAGTGTCCCTGTGTCCCAGTGTCCCAGTGTCTCAGTGTCCCCGTGTCTCACTGTCCCAGTGTCCCAGTGTCTCAGTGTCCCCGTGTCTCACTGTCCCAGTGTCTCAGTGTCTCAGTGTCCCCGTGTCTCAGTGTCCCAGTGTCTCAGTGTCTCAGTGTCCCCGTGTCTCAGTGTCCCTGTGTCTCAGTGTCTCAGTGTCTCAGTGTCTCAGTGTCCCTGTGTCTCAGTGTCTCAGTGTCTCTGTGTCTCTGTGTCCCAGTGTCTCAGTGTCTCAGTGTCTCAGTGTCTCTGTGTCTCAGTGTCCCCGTGTCTCAGTGTCTCAGTGTCTCAGTGTCCCCGTGTCTCAGTGTCCCTGTGTCTCAGTGTCTCAGTGTCTCAGTATCCTCGTGTCTCAGTGTCCCCGTGTCTCAGTGTCTCAGTGTCTCAGTGTCCCCGTGTCTCAGTGTCCCTGTGTCTCAGTGTCTCAGTGTCCCTGTGTCTCAGTGTCTCAGTGTCCCCGTGTCTCAGTGTCTCAGTGTCTCAGTGTCTCAGTGTCCCCGTGTCTCAGTGTCCCAGTGTCTCAGTGTCCCTGTGTCTCAGTGTCTCAGTGTCCCTGTGTCTCAGTGTCCCTGTGTCCCCGTGTCCCCGTGTCTCAGTGTCTCAGTGTCTCTGTGTCTCTGTGTCTCAGTGTCCCTGTGTCCCAGTGTCTCAGTGTCTCAGTGTCCCCGTGTCTCAGTGTCCCAGTGTCTCAGTGTCCCCGTGTCCCCGTGTCTCAGTGTCCCAGTGTCCCTGTGTCTCAGTGTCTCAGTGTCCCCGTGTCTCAGTGTCCCTGTGTCTCAGTGTCTCAGTGTCCCTGTGTCTCAGTGTCTCAGTGTCCCCGTGTCTCAGTGTCTCAGTGTCTCAGTGTCTCAGTGTCCCCGTGTCTCAGTGTCCCAGTGTCTCAGTGTCCCTGTGTCTCAGTGTCTCAGTGTCCCTGTGTCTCAGTGTCCCTGTGTCCCCGTGTCCCCGTGTCTCAGTGTCTCAGTGTCTCTGTGTCTCTGTGTCTCAGTGTCCCTGTGTCCCAGTGTCTCAGTGTCTCAGTGTCCCCGTGTCTCAGTGTCCCAGTGTCTCAGTGTCCCCGTGTCCCCGTGTCTCAGTGTCCCAGTGTCCCTGTGTCTCAGTGTCTCAGTGTCCCCGTGTCTCAGTGTCCCTGTGTCTCAGTGTCTCAGTGTCCCTGTGTCTCAGTGTCTCAGTGTCCCCGTGTCTCAGTGTCTCAGTGTCTCAGTGTCTCAGTGTCCCCGTGTCTCAGTGTCCCAGTGTCTCAGTGTCCCTGTGTCTCAGTGTCTCAGTGTCCCTGTGTCTCAGTGTCCCTGTGTCCCCGTGTCCCCGTGTCTCAGTGTCTCAGTGTCTCTGTGTCTCTGTGTCTCTGTGTCTCAGTGTCCCTGTGTCCCAGTGTCTCAGTGTCTCAGTGTCCCCGTGTCTCAGTGTCCCAGTGTCTCAGTGTCCCCGTGTCCCCGTGTCTCAGTGTCCCAGTGTCCCTGTGTCTCAGTGTCTCAGTGTCCCTGTGTCTCAGTGTCTCTGTGTCTCAGTGTCTCAGTGTCTCAGTGTCTCAGTGTCTCAGTGTCTCAGTGTCCCTGTGTCTCAGTGTCTCTGTGTCTCAGTGTCTCTGTGTCTCTGTGTCCCTGTGTCCCTGTGTCCCTGTGTCTCTGTGTCTCTGTGTCCCTGTGTCTGTGTCTCTGTGTCCCTGTGTCCCTGTGTCTCTGTGTCTCTGTGTCTCTGTGTCCCTGTGTCTGTGTCCCTGTGTCCCCGTGTCTCAGTGTCTCAGTGTCCCTGTGTCCCTGTGTCTCTGTGTCCCCGTGTCTCAGTGTCTCAGTGTCTCTGTGTCTCTGTGTCTCAGTGTCCCTGTGTCCCAGTGTCTCAGTGTCTCAGTGTCCCCGTGTCTCAGTGTCCCAGTGTCTCAGTGTCCCCGTGTCCCCGTGTCTCAGTGTCCCCGTGTCTCAGTGTCCCTGTGTCTCAGTGTCCCCGTGTCCCTGTGTCTCAGTGTCTCAGTGTCCCCGTGTCTCAGGGTCCGTGTCTCAGTGTCCCTGTGTCCCTGTGTCTCAGTGTCCCTGTGTCTCAATGTCCCTGTGTCTCAGTGTCCCTGTGTCTCAGTGTCTCAGTGTCTCAGTGTCCCAGTGTCTCAGTGTCTCAGTGTCCCCGTGTCTCAGTGTCTCAGTGTCCCTGTGTCTCAGTGTCCCTGTGTCTCAGTGTCCCTGTGTCTCAGTGTCCCTGTGTCTCAGTGTCTCAGTGTCTCAGTGTCCCTGTGTCTCAGTGTCTCAGTGTCCCCGTGTCTCAGTATCCCCGTGTCTCAGTGTCCCCGTGTCTCAGTGTCCCAGTGTCCCAGTGTCCCAGTGTCTCAGTGTCCCCGTGTCCCCGTGTCCCCGTGTCTCCGTGTCCCAGTGTCCCTGTGTCTCAGTGTCTCAGTGTCCCTGTGTCCCTGTGTCCCTGTGTCTCTGTGTCTCTGTGTCTCTGTGTCCCTGTGTCTGTGTCTCTGTGTCCCTGTGTCCCTGTGTCCCTGTGTCCCTGTGTCTCTGTGTCTCTGTGTCCCTGTGTCCCTGTGTCTCAGTGTCCCAGTGTCTCCGTGTCCCCGTGTCCTCGTGTCTCAGTGTCCCAGTGTCCCTGTGTCTCAGTGTCTCAGTGTCCCTGTGTCCCTGTGTCCCTGTGTCTCTGTGTCCCTGTGTCTGTGTCTCTGTGTCCCTGTGTCCCTGTGTCCCTGTGTCTCTGTGTCCCTGTGTCTGTGTCCCTGTGTCCCCGTGTCTCAGTGTCTCAGTGTCTCTGTGTCTCTGTGTCTCAGTGTCTCTGTGTCCCAGTGTCTCAGTGTCTCAGTGTCCCCGTGTCTCAGTGTCCCAGTGTCTCAGTGTCCCCGTGTCCCCGTGTCTCAGTGTCCCCGTGTCTCAGTGTCCCTGTGTCTCAGTGTCCCCGTGTCCCTGCGTCTCAGTGTCTCAGTGTCCCCGTGTCTCAGGGTCCATGTCTCAGTGTCCCTGTGTCCCTGTGTCTCAGTGTCCCTGTGTCTCTGTGTCTCAGTGTCCCTGTGTCTCAGTGTCCCTGTGTCCCTGTGTCTCAGTGTCTCAGTGTCCCTGTGTCTCAGTGTCCCTGTGTCTCAGTGTCCCTGTGTCTCAGTGTCCCTGTGTCTCAGTGTCCCCGTGTCTCAGTGTCCCTGTGTCTCAGTGTCTCAGTGTCTCAGTGTCCCTGTGTCTCAGTGTCCCTATGTCTCAGTGTCCCTGTGTCCCAGTGTCTCAGTGTCTCAGTGTCCCCGTGTCTCAGTGTCCCAGTGTCTCAGTGTCCCCGTGTCCCCGTGTCTCAGTGTCCCCGTGTCTCAGTGTCCCTGTGTCTCAGTGTCCCCGTGTCTCAGTGTCCCCGTGTCTCAGTGTCCCTGTGTCTCAGTGTCCCTGTGTCTCAGTGTCCCTGTGTCTCAGTGTCCCCGTGTCTCAGTGTCCCCGTGTCTCAGTGTCCCCGTGTCTCAGTGTCCCCGTGTCTCAGTGTCCCCGTGTCCCTGTATTGCTGAGACCTTCTGGCTTCACTTCGTCAGCTTCTCCGTAATATTCATCATCGAAGAATTTCTGAAAGCAGACAAGACACGGCCATCATGAACCTAGTGACATGGCGATTATTAACCCACTAACACGGCCATTATGAACCCACTAACACGGCCATTATGAACCCACTAACACGGCCATCATGAACCCACTAACACGGCCATTATGAACCCACTAACACGGCCATTATGAACCCACTAACACGGCCATTATGAACCCACTAACACGGCCATTATGAACCCACTAACACGGCCATCATGAACCCACTAACACGGCCATTATGAACCCACTAACACGGCCATTATGAACCCACTAACACGGCCATTATGAACTCACTAACACGGCCATTATGAACTCACTAACACGGCCATCATTAACCCACTAATACGGCCATCATTAACCCACTAACACGGCCATTATGAACTCACTAACACGGCCATTATGAACCCACTAACACGGCCATTATGAACCCACTAACACGGCCATTATGAACCCACTAACACGGCCATTATGAACCCACTAACACGGCCATTATGAACCCACTAACACGGCCATCATGAACCCACTAACACGGCCATTATGAACCCACTAACACGGCCATTATGAACCCACTAACACGGCCATTATGAACCCACTAACACGGCCATTATGAACTCACTAACACGGCCATCATTAACCCACTAACACGGCCATCATTAACCCACTAACACGGCCATTATGAACCCACTAACACGGCCATCATTAACCCACTAACACGGCCATCATTAACCCACTAACACGGCCATTATTAACCCACTAACACGGCCATCATTAACCCACTAACACGGCCATTATGAACCCACTAACACGGCCATTATGAACCCACTAACACGGCCATTATGAACCCACTAACACGGCCATCATGAACCAGGTGACACGGTCATTACGAACCCTGCGACAACCATTGCATTGTAAATAAAGTGACACGGCCATCATGAACCAGGTGACACGGTCATTACGAACCCGGCGACAACCATTGCATTGTAAATAAAGTGACACGGCAACTGTGAAACCCACCGCCATGATGGCGTCGTGGGCCTCCGGGTCAAAGTCCCCGTGGAGCAGTGCATTCCCTTCGGAGCCGACCCGCGCGTTGGCCGACGCCGCGTGGATCGTGCGGAGACGATCCTCCACAGCTCGCCGCTTGAGTGAGCGCAGACGCACCACCTGCCCCAGCCGGCGGCGTCCCTCCTGGCACGCGCGGCGACACGCGGGGGGACGCGCAGGGAGACATGGGTAGACACGGGGAGATGTGCGGAGACACGGGGAGACGCAGGGAGACACGGGGAGATGTGCGGAGACACGGGGAGACGCAGGGAGACATGGGTACACACGGGGAGATGTGGGGAGACAAGGGGAGACACAGGGAAATACATTCTTGATACTGGCAAAAATGTCCCTTCATTTCTAGTTAACAGTTATCGTTCACAGTTGTAGTGTATAGTAGTTGTAGTGTATAGTAGTTGTAGTGTATAGTAGTTGTAGTGTATAGTAGTTGTAGTGTATAGTAGTTGTAGTGTATAGTAGTTGTAGTGTATAGTAGTTGTAGTGTATAGTAGTTGTGGTGTATAGTAGTTGTAGTGTATAGTAGTTGTAGTGTATAGTAGTTGTAGTGTATAGTAGTTGTAGTGTATAGTAGTTGTAGTGTATAGTAGTTGTAGTGTATAGTAGTTGTAGTGTATAGTAGTTGTAGTGTATAGTAGTTGTAGTGTATAGTAGTTGTAGTGTATAGTAGTTGTAGTGTATAGTAGTTGTAGTGTATAGTAGTTGTAGTGTATAGTAGTTGTAGTGTATAGTAGTTGTAGTGTATAGTAGTTGTAGTGTATAGTAGTTGTAGTGTATAGTAGTTGGAGTGTATAATAGTTGTAGTGTATAGTAGTTGGAGTGTATAGTAGTTGTAGTGTATAGTAGTTGTAGTGTATAGTAGTTGTAGTGTATAGTAGTTGTAGTGTATAATAGTTGTAGTGTATAATAGTTGTAGTGTATAGTAGTTGTAGTGTATAGTAGTTGTAGTGTATAATAGTTGTAGTGTATAGTAGTTGTGGTGTATAGTAGTTGTAGTGTATAGTAGTTGTAGTGTATAGTAGTTGTAGTCTATAGTAGTTGTAGTGTATAGTAGTTGGAGTGTATAATAGTTGTAGTGTATAGTAGTTGTAGTGTATAGTAGTTGTAGTGTATAGTAGTTGGAGTGTATAGTAGTTGTAGTGTATAGTAGTTGTAGTGTATAGTAGTTGTAGTGTATAGTAGTTGTAGTGTATAGTAGTTGTAGTGTATAGTAGTTGTAGTGTATAATAGTTGTAGTGTATAGTAGTTGCAGTGTATAGTAGTTGTAGTGTATAGTAGTTGTAGTGTATAGTAGTTGTAGTGTATAGTAGTTGGAGTGTATAGTAGTTGTAGTGTATAGTAGTTGTAGTGTATAGTAGTTGTAGTGTATAGTAGTTGTAGTGTATAGTAGTTGTAGTGTATAGTAGTTGTAGTGTATAATAGTTGTAGTGTATAGTAGTTGTAGTGTATAGTAGTTGTAGTGTATAATAGTTGTAGTGTATAGTAGTTGTAGTGTATAGTAGTTGTAGTGTATAGTAGTTGTAGTGTATAGTAGTTGTGGTGTATAGTAGTTGGAGTGTATAGTAGTTGTAGTGTATAATAGTTGTAGTGTATAGTAGTTGTAGTGTATAGTAGTTGGAGTGTATAGTAGTTGTAGTGTATAGTAGTTGTAGTGTATAGTAGTTGTAGTGTATAGTAGTTGTAGTGTATAGTAGTTGTAGTGTATAGTAGTTGTAGTGTATAGTAGTTGTAGTGTATAGTAGTTGGAGTGTATAGTAGTTGTAGTGTATAGTAGTTGTAGTGTATAGTAGTTGTAGTGTATAGTAGTTGTAGTGTATAGTAGTTGGAGTGTATAGTAGTTGGAGTGTATAGTAGTTGGAGTGTATAATAGTTGTAGTGTATAGTAGTTGTGGTGTATAGTAGTTGTAGTGTATAGTAGTTGTAGTGTATAATAGTTGTAGTGTATAGTAGTTGTAGTGTATAGTAGTTGTAGTGTATAGTAGTTGTAGTGTATAGTAGTTGTAGTGTATAATAGTTGTAGTGTATAGTAGTTGTGGTGTATAGTAGTTGTAGTGTATAGTAGTTGTAGTGTATAGTAGTTGTAGTGTATAGTAGTTGTAGTGTATAGTAGTTGTAGTGTATAGTAGTTGTAGTGTATAGTAGTTGGAGTGTATAGTAGTTGTAGTGTATAGTAGTTGGAGTGTATAGTAGTTGTAGTGTATAGTAGTTGGAGTGTATAATAGTTGTAGTGTATAGTAGTTGTGGTGTATAGTAGTTGTAGTGTATAGTAGTTGTAGTGTATAGTAGTTGTAGTGTATAGTAGTTGTAGTGTATAGTAGTTGTGGTGTATAGTAGTTGTAGTGTATAGTAGTTGTAGTGTATAGTAGTTGGAGTGTATAATAGTTGTAGTGTATAGTAGTTGTAGTGTATAGTAGTTGTAGTGTATAGTAGTTGTAGTGCACCGACCTCCTCTTTGCGTGCCTTCACAGCGGCCCGGCGCTCCTTGCGACGCTCGTCGGCGCGACGCACAGACGCGGCGACGGCACGGGGGTGGGACTTGATCTGGTCGCGGGGACGGGGGGCGATGGTTAATCAAACAGTCTACTTGTGCCCGAGCGCGTTGTTTGATGTGTTGGTAAAGTGGCGCTTATCACACAGCACAAACAACAGCTGTCCTCGCCACAGATGAACCACAAGACCAGCTGGTGGCTGTGATGCTCGTGAAACATCGTCGTCACCACCACGCCAACTACTCGCAGCAGCAGCAGCAGCGGCGGACGCTTGCAAACCGTCGAACAAAGACGGCCACCGCATTGCGCGCTTTCAGATGCTTTAACAACAACCGCCATTCGCCACTAAGTGGCGGTGACATCACCACGGCGCTTGTGCCAGGCCAAGTGCACCTTGAGGCCACGTGAAGTGTCTAACGCCCGCTGGCAGGAGGTCACGGGGCAGACCCAGGTGCCATGGGTTGTCTGACTGAGATGACTGGCTGATGCACCACCTGTGCCTCCTGCTGTATATGCTACACTATACACTACACCATATACTATTGAAGTACCGGTGAGGACGCTTGACGCCGAGGTTGAGGCACACGTATGTTTATTCACAATACGACAGTGGGCATATACACACTCGAGGGGGTATCGGCCCCCTCACCCGTATAACTCGGGATACACCCCTAGCTAACTCTGTCCTAGCCCCGAATCCTCCACTAATGGGCTAGGGGAGGCTATCTGGCCCAACACTGGTAAGTCGGGCCCGGTACCCGGAGTTCCAGACCAGCTCTTACAAGAGCACCGGCTCTGGCTTTCGGGACCACGCCGCTGGCTCAATCCTGTCCGGCCCTAAGAAGGACATCGAACCAGGGGAGTCCAGGGCTCTATCTAAGACGTCTTCAATCTTCTTCCCTTAGCTTAAACATAACTGCCTTGAGCCCTTTCAACATCCCCTTTTATACCCAACCCCTCCCTGAGGGGTGGGGCCCCGGGGGATCATAACGTTCGAACCAGCCCCCCCCAGGGTGCCTGGCTCGGACGTCGTAGAGGGCACCTCCTCGTGCACTTACGTAGCCACGCCCACTGTGTTTGTTTTCCATAGGCTGCCATGCATAACGGGCCCTCTCTTTAACACCCCTACACTATTATACACTACATATACACAATATACACTACACTATACACTACACCATATACTATTATACACTACATATACACAATATACACTACACTATACACTACACCATATACTAGTATACACTACAAATATACAATATACACTACACTATACACTACACAATATACTAGTATACACTACATATACACAATTATACACTACACTATACACTACACCATATA